TCCCGCTTTAACAGCAGCGAACAACGCAATTTATCTTCGAGTATCAAGGACCAGTTCTTGCCAACCAGCCACTGCGCACGCGCACAGAACGTAAACATGTGCGACGGCTTATAAGCTACAATTCAGAAACACTATGGTACAGTATTGAGGAATAAAACGAAACGGCACAGACATGAATCAAACGCAATTATGCTGACATGAAATAGACTAACAATCAACCGACTGTGTTATTAAAGTTGTTATACCTTGGCTATAACAAATGAAAGGGCAAAGTGTGGACGGAAATTGGCGTCGTTAAATCTAACATCTGATAAAATTACACCACAATTTATAGTTAATTGTACGAAAATAGGCCGTTTTCAACTTGAAAATAATCGTATGTCATTAATTGCGACATGACGTTTGCAAAACACATTCACAATAACGGGTGATATTTCAATTATTGTGGTGTTTATTCTTTGTCCATTCTCATCTTGTTAGATTAGTCTCTGTCTATTTTCACGCCTTGTTTGTTTTGCCTCTTTTGTTTTTCATCTTGTTGGATTTCCCGCGGTCTATTATCATATTGCTAGGTTTGTCCACAGTCCCTCAACACTGAGGGACTGTGTTTTGTCTCAGTCTTTTCCAGTCTTGTTTTATTAGTCTCCGTTCCTCTGTGCATCCGTGTGTCCGTGCATCCGTGTGTCCGTGCGTGCGTGCGTGCGTCCGGACCTGTATCATAGACATGCCTGGACCAATTACATTCAAGCTTCATACATAATATTATACATATGCACATCAATTTGTTTCACGATCTGATTCAAGATGGCCGAATGTCAGCCATTTTTGTACTGAAAAATCATCAAAATCAAGCATTTCTCGGCTGTCTACAGATGGATTTTGTTCAAACTTGGTATATACATTAGACACTGGCTTTGACTTTTTTAATGGTTTGGTTTTATTGGTTTGCGATCCTGTTCAAAATGGCTGAATGGTGGCCTTTTTTGTGCTAAAAAACATCGAATATCAAGCATTTCTGGCATTTATGGATGGATTTTGTTCAAACTTATAAAATACAACAGACATATGGGTTCCTGATGCGCGTCATTTTATTTTTCAGATCGGATTCAAAATGGCTGACTGGCGGCCATTTTGTTTTAATGAATGGGATTCTAGAGCGATATCTCTGACTTGCTTTGACTGATTATGTTCAAATTTGATACATATATTTATTATACATGTTATAGATATATACATGTATTTATAATAACTGACGACGGCGGCCATTTTGTTTTAATTGATAATGTTCCAGAGCAATATCTCTCAATTTGGACAAGTACTCGTTTGACGATCAGATACAAATGTCAATTAATATAGCTATTCCAGCTATATTACTATAAACAAAACTATATATTTTAAATTCCATAACTAACGGGGACTGTGCCATGCATGGCTTGTTTATTCTAGTCTTGTCATATTTGAACAATATCTGTCTATTCTCAGTCTCTGTCTACTCCTGGTCTCTTCTTAGCCTCGGTCTATTCTTAGTCTCTGTCTAGTCCCAGTCTTGGTCTATTCTCAGCCCCAGTCTATTCTCAGTATCTGTCTATTCTCAGCCTCGGTCTATTCTCAGTCTTTGTCTATTCTAAGCCCCAGTGCATTCTCGGTCTAGGTCTATTCTCAGTCTACTCTCGGTCTATTTTCAGTCTATTTTCAGTCTCTGTCTATTCTCAGTCTAGGTCTATTCCCAGTCTCTGTATATTCTAAGCCCCAGTGCATTCTCAGTCCAGGTCTATTCTCAGTCTATTCTCAGTCTATTTTCAGTCTCTGTCTATTCTCAGGCTAGGTCTATTCCCAGTCCCAGTCTATTCTCAGTCTTAGTGTACTCTCAGTCTCTGTCTATTCTCAGTCTCAGTCTATTCTCAGTCTTAGTATATTCTCAGTCTTGGTCTATTCTAAGTCTTAGTCTGTTCTCAGTCGTCTATTCTCAGTCTTAGTATATTCTCAGTCTTGGTCTATTCTAAGTCTCTGTCTATTCTCAGTCTCAGTCTATTCCAGTCTTAGTGTATTCTCAGTCTTGATCTATTTTAAGTCTTGGTCTGTTCTCAGTCTATGTCCATTCTCAGTCTATTCCCAGTCTCAGTCTATTCTCAGTCTTAGTGTATTCCCAGTCTTGATCTATTCTAAGTCTTAGTCTGTTCTCAGTCTATGTCCATTCTCAGTCTATTCTCAGTCTTAGTGTATTCTCAGTCTTGATCTATTCTAAGTCTTAGTCTGTTCTCAGTCTATGTCCATTCTCAGTCTATTCCCAGTCTCAGTCTATTCTCAGTCTTAGTGTATTCCCAGTCTTGATCTATTCTCAGTCTATGTCCATTCTCAGTCTATTCCCAGTCTCAGTCTATTCTCAGTCTTAGTGTATTCCCAGTCTTGATCTATTCTAAGTCTTAGTCTGTTCTCAGTCTATGTCCATTCTCAGTCTATTCTCAGTCTTAGTGTATTCCCAGTCTTGATCTATTCTAAGTCTTAGTCTGTTCTCAGTCTATGTCCATTCTCAGTCTATTCTCAGTCTTAGTGTATTCTCAGTCTTGCTCTATTCTAAGTCTTAGTCTGTTCTCAGTCTATGTCCATTCTCAGTCTATTCCCAGTCTCAGTCTATTCTCAGTCTTAGTGTATTCCCAGTCTTGATCTATTCTCAGTCTATGTCCATTCTCAGTCTATTCCCAGTC